GCAGATGATCTAGTGTTAACATTAACTCAGCCGATAGATTCGGTAATTGAGGTGGTTGAAATTATTGTACAATACGGGAAAGTTTCTGGTTTTAAGGTAAATTGTAACAAGACTAAGATATTATTGAAAAATATGTCTAAGGAGGATAAAGATATGTTAGTTACACTTACAGGTTTTGAAATGGTTAAAAAGATAAAATATTTGGGGGTTTATATTACAGCTTCCAATGCAAAATTGTATAAGAATAATTATGAAGCCTTATGGGCTAAGGTACAAAAGGATTTAAGTGACTGGAAAAAATTGCAATTATCTCTGTTGGGAAGAATTTCAGCTGTAAAAATGAATGTTCTTCCTAAATTTCTTTTCTTGTTTCAAATGATTCCTATTTTAAAAAAAAGATGCCAATTTGGAGGGATGGCAAAAGGGTGTTAACAAGTTTATCTGGGCGGGCAAGAAGTCAAGAGTTAGGTTCAAGATTATGCAGGATATAAGAGAATGAGGAGGACTTAAAGTCCCCAACTTAAAACTATATTATGATGCGGTGGTTCTGACATGGATTAGTGATTGGTTAAATTTGACAAATAGAAACATACTTTCTCTTGAAGGATGGGACCTGTTATTTGGTTGGCAGGCATATTTAATTTATGACAAAAAAGTAGATAGAAATTTTAAGGCTCATATTTTGAGAAGTGCACTACTTCGAGTTTGGAAGAAATACTATTATAGATTAAATTATAAGATTCCTATTTGGGCAAGTCCAGGACAGATAATAGAGGGGATATCTAAGGGAGTTAAATTGGATAAAGTTTCTTACAAAGAATTACTTTCGCCAGTAGGACGAGATTGGCAACTTAAATCTTTAGTAGATTTGAAACAAGAAAATATTGAATATTCTTGGTTTTATTATAACCAATTGTCAATGAGGTGGCGTTTGGATCAAAAAGTTGGTATTACAGTACAGGATGTAAATCTGATTAAACAGATTGGAGATCAATCTCAAGCTCACATAAAAAGAATTTATGGTGTATTGGTTGAATTGGATTCGGAAACAGAATTGGTGAAGGATTGTATGATAAAATGGGCTCAAAATATACAAGAACCGATCCTATTGGAAACATGGGAGACAATTTGGATTAGGAATGTAAAATTTACTCAAGCTCAGAATTTAAGAGAAAATTTTTATAA